ATAGTATCTATCTATCTATCTTTAAAAGACCACAAAGTATACATACTTAAGAAAACTTAAATTGTTTTGAACCATCATGTAGTCATTATAAGAACATTACTATAAGCAAGTGTATCGATCATAAATATTTATGTTGTTATGAACAGATAATAAGTTACCTTTCAGCGTTTGTAGACTGCGTCCTTTCTAAAATTGGTTCTTTGTTCTTTACGCTTTAAGTGGGACATTTGGCAACAGACGTGTTGTGAAGACAATAACCGCCAATAACTGGAAACATTGGCAACACCTATAACTTGCTTAGTGGACGACAGGATGAAAGAAACCATTGCTTGTAAGATTTACGATTCCGAAGCAAATGCTGTGAGTCTTTACGATTATTTATGTAAGTGCATATTTATTAGAAGATTATAATTAGAACAAACAAAGGAAAATGGAAAAATAGATTTTAATTTGTAGGTGATAGGGTAAAGCAAACCATAGTTTGTAAAATTTAAATTTAGATGTAAACGCTGTGAGTTTCTATGTATATTTACTAGACATTGTTCACGCACAATTGTAAGATCACAAGCAGAATAAAGAGGGAAATGTTCAAAAACTGAATTTTATTTTGTAGGTCTACATTCGGATTTTAATTAACATTTTACAAAATGTATATATAAAATATATATATTTCTTTATTAACCAATGTAACAGTTTTCGTCACGCAATGGCAAGTCAATATTTACATTATAATTTTTAAATTAATTGATTAAATATAAACAATGATAATAATATTTGAAATATAAAATAAAAATAATGAATGAACTGATAAATAATGTTTTCATCCGTATGTCAGAGGTGATGTAAAGCAAAAGAGCTCTGTTTATCCCTTTGAAATTAGATTAATTAATAATTCACTAATGTTACTCATAAATAGTTTATACACAAAAAGGATACAAGTAATTAATTTACAATTAATCTCCGATAAAACGAGTATGTATTGAGAAATGTGTATGATCATTTACATCGTATATTTATTATAAATTCAATTCGATTTATTTATTCAACCTGCTCATGTTTGTTTGATCGACTTGCAACCAGTTACTCCCTTCGCCCACGCTTCGACAGCGAAAGCAAATGTTAATAATGAGGAATGCTCCGATGTTATGTGCAGTAAGAACCGTCCTCTTACATGACGATTCGCAATATTCATACATAAATCCATTTCCAATACAGTTACATCGATTTCGAAAGATCGAATCGATTGTTCAGAACTGTTGGTGAGTTCTTATTGTGTCAAGTTTTTGTTTCAACGCGCTGTCGATTACACGGTGGTTATTTCAAAATGAAGAATATTAAATAAAAACGGTTTTGTTTTGTTATATATAATTTGTTTTAAATGTACAAGTTGTCTTAGGTATAGCTTTATTGATGACTAATTTATTTAATTAATAATAATTATAATAGTTTGATTAAATATTTTCTTAAATACTATAAGATTGATAGAATTCCATTTTCTATAGGACGTAAAAAAGATATTTATGTCATGCGATCTTGGCATAGAATAGGTCACCTTTTCCTTTACTGTGGGTATCGTAAGAGGCGCCTAAGGAAATTAATGGTCGAGGGATGGCCAGCAGCCTCTCTCTTAAAATATCACCAAAACCTAAATGAGGTTGCCAACTCTCCTGCCAAGCGTGACGACTACAGGCAAAATCCCCTTACGAGATAGGTCTATGTACAGCAGCGGACAGTTAACGGCTTATATAATAATCAAAATAGAAAAAGGAACCAACAAATAGCATAAATAAATAATTTACTTCAATTTTGATGGCATTTCAATACATGCCCCTAGTCTATGGTGCTGTTGATTTTTATAGGCGATAAGACATAAGAAGAGTTTGTTTTTCATTACGTATTACCTAACAAATTGCCAATCTGAATTTAATCAGTTGCAGTTCATTTAAGTATGCAGCAAAAATTAATACAAAAACAGGTGGACCAGCTATCAAACCGTCAGACACGTGACATCTGACATGCGCTCCAACACTTTCATCCTTAATGTGTATAAAATACCCATTTCACTTTCCGGTCGATCAGCAAACTGTGTACTTCCTGACGCAACACTCTCGGACTAGTGTTGTGCCGAATCAGTCTGTCTCGAGTACGGATCGAATATCTACTAGATGCTCTGAATTCGGGGATATACAATATTCGAATACAGGATTCGAGTACTTGCGGCATTCAAATATTAGTAGCGATATTTTTGTTTATGTTTCATCGTCTCATTATTTTTTCTTTAATTACCCAAATCAAAAATATTAAATAACTTAATATTTATCTTCTTACTTATCTTCATAAAAGTCTATTGACAAATTACAAAAGTTTGATAAAGTACTCGAATAGCCATAGAATACTACTTAGAATAGACAAGATAGAATAAAATACTTATCCGAATACTGAGACTCGAGAATCGAATTCTAAGTTCGATTCTTTTCTTTAACGAGTACTGAAATACCCGAAATCAAATAAGATCAGTCGATTCAGATCGACACATCACTATCTCGGACTACCAAATTGTGTACAAATGAGTGAGTCATGAGAAACCGGTTCCCACGCCCACCAGACTCCCACTCGGCTCTGCACTGGTCACCGTTGACATCACTTATGTAAGGGTGCTTTTATTTTATGCAAGGCTTCGAGCGTAGTGCAACTATTATTGCAGCTACCTAAAATACATTGTGAGTAGATAAAACCACAGATAATAAAATATTGATACAAATTCATCGTTTTTGTTAGTTTGTATTGTTTTGTATATCATCATCATCATCATATCAACCGTCTACTGTCCACTGCTGAACATAGGTCTCCGCCAATAGGGGGTTTTGTCAGTAGATGCCACGCTTGGCAGGTAGATTGGCAACTCTGCCGTCGGAGATGTGGTGAGTGCAAAAGCGAACCCATGTCTCCGACACATGGCACCTCGAGAGTCTGGTTTTTGGTGGGTACACTCCCGTCTTACGGGGGTATTCCTACAGTAGCTATTCACTTTCCACAAGGTGTATGGGTCTGCATAAAGCATTTTCCAGACGTTAAAAAAAAAGGTAGATTGGCAATTGGAGTTAGGCTTTGGTGGTATTTCAATAGGGACGCTGTTGCCCATGCCTTGACCATTAGGTACCTATAGTGGTCTCACATTAAAAGCCATATAAAAGGAAGAAGTGGCCTATTCTGTACCGGGACTATACGACAAACAAACACTAGTTTTTTTTGTGTATACAGAGTAAAATAATTAGCGTTAATTTACCGGCGTAACCGATTTTCATCTGAGAAACATGAGTCGAAAAACGTCATAAAATTTTGTTCCTTTCATAATAACAGGGCGTGTCGAGATGTCAAGTTAGTATGGAAGGGTTAGAATTTTTATCCTCTTGGTGCCTTAACGTCTCAAGAAATTGTCATAAAATTTGGTAAACGCATGTTATTATTTGGGATCTATTTGTTTATTTATTTATTCCACATAGTTACAACCTTAATGCTAAATAAAGCAAACACATTTATATCTTAGCACTGGCACTTATATAACTACAGTCGTTATCATTAAAAAGAAATATATTAATTTTTTTTTTATGATGGCCAGAAATCTGAAAATACATCAACATCTTGGACCTTGAAATACATTTAGGAGGATAGGGATAGAGAAGGTCATGGCAAAGGCCACTTTTTAATGTGACATTTGACGTTTTTAGTTACGTGAGCGAAGTCGCGGGTAAAAAATTTTAAAATTATAAATATTTTAAATGACCAATTCATTTAAAATACGCATATTTTAGGTGTGTGTGTTTTTTTTTTAAATCTTGTTGTATTGTAAATTTGTTAAAACTTTGCTTTCATTAAATTCTAGAGTTTTTATTATTATTATATTTACTTGGACATTTTACAGAATGTAGCAGCATATACATATATGTACTAGGAAGCAAATTATAAAAATTAATTATTCCAATGGTTTATTTAATTAAAGCACTAAGTCTTCAATTGAATGCAACGACAAATTTGTCCGAAGAGTTATTGGTTCCATGTATGGTGTGACCAATTACTCTTTACTCGTTTATTTCGTGCATTTGTATCGTTTAATCGAACAAACAATACTACTTAAAACAAATATTTAATTGGCACTGTTAATTGCCCGACGATTCTATTGTTTATTCTTTCTCACAATCGCCATTGTGTGAGACAATGTTGGGAGTTGACCTCAAGGATCCGTGATGCAACGCCTTTTTGTGCGCTGCTGTTAAGGAAGAGATTCGATCTTGGTGCGTTGACTCTTTATCGTAGTTTATGCTATTTTAAAAATAAGGAGGAAGTGTATAATACTAGTACAAAGTATTTGCGAATACTTTAAATTTAATATTAAAATAATAATAATTTTGACAAGTATTTTGCTTCGATGACGTTAATCAAAACAATAGTTTTTTTTTTATACACTTGAGTAAAATTGTGGCAAACAGATTTGCCCTTGTATCGGTACATACATAACAAATTTCATTCTAATATCCTGTGTTATGTTAGGTTATATTCTAGCTTAAATGAAACTAATGAAAGTTGGTATGTGTATCCGTATACAAAAGTTCAAAGTTCATATCCTTTCAGCTGTTTAAGCGTGATTGAGTAACAAACATACAAACGTTCTAACATCTTTACAAACGTAACATTTGTAATATTGGTAGGTAGTAGTATAGAATTCGAATTCGTGTACAAAATTATAATGTTATAAGCAGTTTTTTGTTTAAAAAAAAAACTACAACTAACTGTTATAAAAGTACTTATGTTTACTAATTATATTGATTAGTAATTATATTTATTACTAATTTTAGATTAAATCTTATCGATTTCAAAAAGTATTATCAAAATCGGTTCAGAACTGGCGACGTAATCGCGTAACACAAAAAATACTTACTAATTAAAAACCGTTGCTTTAAAATACAGTTTTGAGTAATTCATATGTTGCTTTTTTGTTTCAGATGGGCGACTGGCACAGATAAATTAGTAATGCGAATACTTCGGAATTGTAATTGCTGCGTGAGTATTTAGTTTTTTTTTTAGTTAACGATTTAAATAAATTAATGAAAATGTACGCAAATTAATATTTGTCCCAATCGTAAGATAGTCTGCTAATGCCCAATATTATGTACAAATAAAAAATAAAAAAAACAATAATTGGATGTTTCGATTTGTTACTAATTTCATTTAGAGGTTTGGTGTAATAATTGCAATAAAAACTGATTACATTTTCATTAAGTTGTATTAAATAGCCTGTACTTAATATTTTAAGATTGTTTCACAAAAAAAAAAAAAAACACTTTAGTATTGACAAATTTAGTAATAGATTGAATCATTAAAATGAAATTAGAGTTATTAAATTCTGGAATACTATTCTCGGCCGCTATAGGTGTTACCTACCTATAATCTTGCGGCATTTAAGCGGGGCGTAAAGAGGTACATTTGTAGGCTGTCAAAGTGAGGATCGCCAACATAGTATAAATTGCTGTGATAACGACCCTCTAGTTTGGGCCACATTACTTGCTTACCATGAGGTGGGGTGTGGTCACTTTGACTAGCCCCTAAAAAAAGTAATTCGCATAAAAAAAAACTGTCGAATACAGAACCCTCTCCCCTTTAAAGTAAGTTGAAAACAAGGTTTTAATAATTCGCTGCACGTAGTTAACAACATTCGCAGCGGTTGCAATGTAATTTATGTTGATTCTAGCAAAAAGAAGATCAATTTTGCACACCTTTTTTGCAGCGGCTTTATACTCAATAATGGCTAGGATTAAAAGTAACTGTTAATTAGTATTTACTATTTAGGTATAGGGTTGTCTTTAATAAATTTACTTGTTTAAATCAACTATTTATATATTTCATACAGTTTAAAAAATCTAAATATTTATATATTATATATATGTTATCATGTAATATTAATTTTAAAACTAGCTGTAACCCATGATTTTGCTCGCGTGAATTAGTATATGAAGTATCTTGTGTGCTAAGTTAAAATATAACCTACCTGTGTACTGAATTTCATTCAAATCTGTTAAGCAGTTTTTGTGTGAAAAATAATATGCATCTATTCGTCCTTATAAACTTTCGCATTTATAATGTTAATAATAGGATTATATTTTTATGTTATCATCGTATCGTGTCGTAGTATTTTTACGTTCATCATGATAAACGTAAAAATGCTACGATATGTGAATTAAGAAAAAATAACAAAACTCAATGTATGTAGTATTAATATAACGTGATTTCCCAATGCTAATAGAATATGTCTTTTTTATAAATTTGAATTTTTTAATAATAAATAATAAAAAAAAACAGTTTAATATTATTTTGGTATAAAACCTTTTATAGCACTTCGTGATGTTATTGCAGTTAATATGTTTACGTACATATATATTTTAATGTGAATAAAGCGTGTTTAAAAATTCATAATACAGTTTTGACTTCCAATATTTATTATTCAACAATAAATATAAACAAATATTAAAATATGCTAAATTACTATGTTTTCATCAGAAATATTATACTTATGGCTTTTTAACTTGTACCTTCACTACTTTTTTATGGGTTACGTTAGTAACATAGACAAGTTTTATCAATAAATAATGTTTTATGTTAAATGTGATTAAAATTTTTTTATGTGGATGTCTAAACTTGTAATTTAGAATAACGTGGCTGCATTAAGACGTATTTTATTTATGTACATCAGATGCGGTCGTGAAGGGCATTATATGAACATCTACGGCTCAATTATACCTTCATGATATGTGACCGGCTCGTTTACGAAATGCCTCTGTAACGAGTTACCGAGTGTTATTTTATATGTACTTTTAATTAGGGCTTATTGCGTAAACATTGTGGGTAATTATAATGATTCGAATAGTTTCAACGAGATAAATTTCGTTCGAGTTTGACAGTTATATATTGTTATATCGAATAATTAGGGTTTGTACATTCGATTTCTTTTACCGTAATTTATTTTATTTATACTACTGTTAATTTTAATGTTTACTTGAACATAATCATTAAAATTGTTTATTACGACTTCAAAAAGTAGTTTCTCTATTCGTTTAAATTTTTGTGTGATATTACGTAATATTTTTACAAATTCTGAACAGTATTTAATATAATATCGAATATTTCTTTTTTATATAGAATTTATTCCCATGATTAAAGTAACGTCATGATTAAAGTACCTACCGAGCTGCATGAACTTATTGATCCTTCGGGCTATATCGATTACTTTGGTTCCACCTCGTTAAAAATGAATTTATCATCATAATAATCATAGTGTCTGTTACGCTATTTACATAAAACATATACTAGCACAACTTATATTTGTGAATGTTAAGCATCATTTCGTTTAATTAGATACAGTTTTAATTTAAATTAATCGATATATGAGATCAAACAACTAAATCGATTCAACTTCTGACGCCCACTTTGTCGATTGGCGAAATTGTTTGTTATTTTGCAATATTGTAATTAAAATAAGTTATTATAATATTTTAATATATTAGTATATTACTTGAGTTTTTTTCCAGTTATTTGTCAGTTTCTGTGGTACAGTTATTAATTACTCTATCCAAAATAAACAACCCAATTCACAAAGTTTGTGTAGGTGTTAGGACTAGTTATTTTTTAAAAAAACATATTTCAATCCCAATCGAAGAAGAAACATGTGTCAAAAGTCAGGTTTTTTTGAGCTTCCTAAACAAATAAGACCCGAACAGCTGTCTAGTTAGTAAGGTTAAGATAAGGATCTCTGATAATATTAGTTATTTTTGAACCGATATGTCTTTGGAAAAATGTTCTTTTTCACTGTCGAAAACTCCACTAAGAGGTTACTAATGGTTCCGATTTTATCCCGTCTTTCGATTCTATAAATAACAGTAGTCTAACAGTAGTCATGTTTTATTTGTATTGCTGACACTAAAGTTTAAGGTCTTGCAACTAGCTGGTACCTATTAACGCGTTTCCTTCGCCGGAGTTGATCTGTGTTCATTTTCCGCTAATTTGCTCATTAGCTACTCGTTCAGTCGTTGACAGAAAGCATTCAGCGTTCACAGCGAGCGAGTTAACTGTCAATAAAAAGAGATTAATGTACTCAGTAGTATTTCTGCGATCAAACTACTACCTATCTATTGAACCCACATTTTTTTTTTTATAACACGGGACAAACGAGCATGCGGCTTACTTGATAGTAAGTGACCACTGCTGCTTATGAGCACGCGCAACATCAGCGGAAAACAGAGGCATTGCAGGTTTACTGCTTGCCTTTTAATAAGGAATATGATCTTTTCTTAAAGGTTTTTTTTGATGGGTGAAAATGGTATGGTAACCCCGCCTGCGCTAACGGGATACGCTGGCGGAGCACCAGTGAAGGGTGATAGATGAGAATGAAAACAGGCCAGTTAGCCCATCGTGATGAATTCATCAAGAATTAACCATGATAGTTTCCAGGGAGAACCGCGAGGAGGTCGACCTGGTTTGGTATATTGCTAGTAATAGGATTCTCAGTCTCCATTACTAACAATCTCTTTCCCCCCTTTCTTGAAGTTTATAATTATCCACTATCTTCAAAAACTTCTTTTTGTCCATCCTATGTTAACCTCTTCTACTGTCTGAAATTACGTATCTTATTAATTTTTTTACAGACATTTCGTTCTCGTTATTAGGAAATTACTTAAAATGCTCATAAGAAAAGGATTTGTTACCACAACTTTATATTGTACTAGCTCTATCCCGCGGCTTAACTCGTGGTCGCATCGTAATATTATATAGCTGGTAACCATCCTCAAGGCTCCTCAAGGCAAGGTTTCCGCTATCAAATACAAACACAAATTTTTCAAATCAGACTGATAGTTCCAGAGATTAGCGCGTTCGGACAAATAAATAATTTCGGTTTATATACTCGGATTAGTACAGATCTTTACTTTGTTGCTACGTGGATGGATGAAAATCTTTCATATAAAAAGGTCATTAGAACCGGTTCAGAGCTGGAAAAAATATCGGATTATATACAACCAAAAAACTGGGGAAATGAGAAAAATCGAAATTGCTGAGTGCTGACAATCAACACTATTGAACTAACAGTAAAATTAAAAACCCAATATTTATTTTTTATTTTGTTCAATAATGATGGGTCTTCGCTCCAAACTATAGATTTAAATTCAATAAAGGAAACAGATCACTTGATTCTTGTTCTGAATGCATAGGTATTCCTCTATTGCATAGGAATGTTTTAGTCGTGAGGGCATTTAGTTCGAAATAGTCAGCCGTAGTGTTTTTATTACCTCAACGTGCTTACCATTCTCGTGTCTCACAATGATATCACGAATAACTAAGTTGTAATGTCATAAGTTACAATTAGTCGCCAATTGCATTGTTAAAGATTGACAATTCAGTCTGATATAGTTTTCAATATTATTAGGCGATTCTGTTATGTTTATTTAAAGCATTACTTTTTTATAATAGTTGGAACGGCAAATATAGCTTATTTACTAGTACATTTAATGGAAAGTGCTTACCGTCGCCTACAATTATGAACAGCACCATGAATACCTAAAGAATATCCTATGACGTCTATGGCACCCCTATTGCTTTGCATTTCTTGAAGATTAGTTCATTCTGTATTAGTTGATGTTGTAGTCTTAAAAGAGTGACGAAATAGGCTTTTTTATTATTAAAAACCTATTTATATTAGAAGTAAATTAAAGTAGAAAAGATACTAACATTTCTTTAGCTTATGTTGTAATTTCATTGCCATATCCCATCTTTCAAATCGAAACATAGCCGAACAACACAACGGCAAAAAGACGAATGAAATTTATATTTACAACTTAAGATGTTATATGTCGCTGGATTTTGCACTGCCAAAGCAATAAATTCGAGGATCCTATCTATTGCGAATATAATTATCATAATCGACTTAGAGTTAGTGAAGAGATCAAAAAATAATGCTAAGTTAATAATCTTTCTAAGTCCCTAAACTATTATAAGTCCCTATTTTTTTTTATAAG